GGCAGATTCTCATTTATAAGGCAGTAAGAGAATTTTATGAACAATTTTAAGCCTATGCATTTGACAATGTAGATGCAGGATAAAAGTGTTTGATGTAATTCAATGCCCATTCATTATTTTTTAAATTCTTATTAACAAACAAAAACGGGGAGCGAAATTTCATAATCTTATAAAAAGTACCTAGAAAAAAAATTAGCAAATATTATAGCAAATATTATATATTCAATGGAGAATTTAAAAGCTTTCCTGTAAGAATAAGGAATGAAATGAGAATGTCTGCTATTATCACTTATACATAACACTATTATGGATGTCCTATTCAATACAATTAGACAAAAAAAGAGAAATATATCTTATAAATATTGGGAAGAAATAGAACTATCATAATTTGCAATATTAGCATAGCATGATTGTATGCTTAGAAAATGTCTAAGTTAGGAAAAAATGTAACCAAGTGTATTTCTATAAACAACAATAAAAAGTGGGAAAGGAAATTTAAAGTGCATCTAATAATATCAGAAATATCAAATACCTAAAATAAATCTAATAAAAGATGCATATTAACTATTAACCACTATTGAAAGAAATAAAAGAATTATGAATTCTATAAATGAAGATATTCCATATTCTTGAATTGGAAGATATAATATGGTAAATATGTCAATTCTCCCTCAATAGACTTATAAACACCATTCAAATAAGTATTCAAATAACGTGTGTGTGTGTGTGTGTGTGTGTGTGTGTGTGTGTGTGTGTGTCATTGAGAAGTTAATTTTTCAATGTATGCATGTAGCTAGTGCTCTTCGAAGATGTTTATGCTCTAGAGGATCAGGGACAGACAGACCACATACTGAAGAGGAACTGATGTTATTGGCTTTATCACTAATTCTTTCTATCCCTAAATGGCACAAATAAAACTGCTTCCATATTGTAGGGGACAATGTTTGTGCAAAAGATAAGTAGTGGTGGGAACAGAGTATAAAGATCTGTTAAAAAGGTCTATGTCAGCTCTTCACTCCTTCAAGCAGTGAGCTTGAGATTATTTAAGATTTGGTAACCCAGGCAACCACAGGGGATGTCCAATCTCAGTTAGCGAAAATTTCACTCATTACTCATTACCTACTGCATGAAACTGTTTATAGACTCAAAAAGGGGTGAGCCCTTTTCATCAGAGAAAACTTAAAACTTTAGGAGAACTATGAAGTTTTCCCCAAGTCACAAGGGGTTTTTCCCTCCCACTCATGCTAAATCTCGTGAGTACCTCTGAAAGACTAACGCTTTAAAACTGAATTATTTAAAATTGGATCCCCAGTGTGCTTATAAGCAATACTTGCATCCCAGACATATTAGGAAATATACTAGGATACATTATATCTGAAGATATGTGAAATGAACGTATTCCAATGTTCATTTGAAATGCAGTCCTGACAGCTTGGAGCTGCTGCATTCAGGCTCTTGCGTATTGTATATCCAGCATATTGGAAATGCCAGGTTGATAATTGGCTTTAGGGTCTGGGTCTATTCTGAATCCTCCGATCAAAAGTGGCTCATGTTAGCAAGGAAAGTAAATACTTTTTGTTTTTTTGGAAGGCTCAGTGTTGGCCATAGCAGAGACTGAAACCTTTTTAATCAATGTTTTTCTAGGGTTTTCTTTTTTTTTTTTCTCCCATGGAAAGATGATGGAGAAGGAATCTCAGGTTTAGTCATCAGGTTTCTTTTCCTTTTTTGAGATGTTAAGACCTTTTTTTTTTTTTTTTTTTTTCTCTATATGCATTCATCTTTCCTATTAGCCTACAATCACCAGATTCTAGAGATTTTGTCTTATTTACCTTTGGTGACTGGGTTTGGGGGAGGGAAATCAAGAAGTAACTACGGTACATAGTGAAACCTAGTAAGGAGAGCAACAGCTTTATTATATTTATTATTTGAGATAAAAATGAGACCCAAAAGCATGATTTCTAGGACTTTAAAATGCTGTGTGAAGTAATCACAAATCCAGGAAATAATAGTGCAAACAGATGTTGGGCAAGTCCCTGTAAGAGAGAGTACCATTTAAAGCACTGAAGACAGGGGGGCATCCTGCACATATAACCATTTAATTTTTACTGAAAAATGAGAACACTAGAAACTTCTTCCTTTACATGTTTATGTAGCTGACATGCAAGGTGTTGAGAAAGGTTTGAGGCAATTTTCCCAAAATTAATTTTTGGAAAAGTCCTCATATACATATCTATATGTACCTTAATATCATACATGCTATTTCTTTTCTGTTACCTAGTCTCCTTAAGATCCATTTCTGAAGTATATCATTGCAGGTTAAATGACCCTTCTGAAGTTTTTGTTAATTTACAATCCCAGGCATTGAGTAAGAGGATAGTTACTTTACCTCTATCTAGGATATACTGGCCTGTATGGCTTTATCGTTTGTTTTTCAATTTTTGATAATTTCTAAAAGGTGAATTTAATTTAGATTTTTACTTTTTAAATTTTTAGCAAGGTTAGATTACCTTTGTGATTTTAGAAATAGGACCTAATTCCCAAACATTAGATAATTTAGTGAAACAACTTATATGGAAGCATCAGTGATTTGTTAAACTGTAATAGGTGCCAAAAAAATACAGGTAGCATGGCACTTCTGTTAAAAATAATTTTCTGTAGCATGTATAAGATGGTGACTATTGGTGATAATACTGTATTGCATATTTCAAAGTTTCTTGTATCTTACCCCAAAACATATCTACATTCCATTAGGTTGTCAGCTCTCAAGTGTTGTTTTCTATAGGCTGTAAACCTAATCAGCCATTTTTAGATCTTTCTGTATAACCTAATCACCCATTTCCGCTTCCTTTTGAAAACATTAGCCAATCTCTGGAAGTGGGTGTGGCCTTAGGTAAATGGAATCACATAAAAGGCACTTGGTCCAGAGACTACATCCCCAGAGCAGACTGACCGAATTTGCAGCTGCTAGAAGAGCAGAGAGTTACTGCTGACCCTGATATCAACAGATTTTCCAGAACTTCCAGAGGTGAGACCACTCAGTAGACTCTAGTGAGTATTGAATTTAGAGTAAATATCTTCATGTCTACCTTCTCTTATTCAAATACTTTCAATACCTGTCAGTGTGCTTGGGTCTTGTCCAAGCAAACCAGTAGCTTTCCTAGTTTTCAAAATTGACGTCAATATTTAAAATATCTGTAACTAGAGCATTTGTAATATATTAATAGTCATATTATTTGATTATTTTTATTTTATTACCTTATATATTACTAAATTTTTTAAGTCTTAAAAGACATTTCCATAGTTTTTATGCAATTGTGGAAATCATAAACCATCCAAAGTGTTCAACATAATGTGGGCATATAATAATAGTCTCTATGCACATCAACATAAAAGTTAAATGTGTTGAATTAATTAGAAAACCCTTGCAAAGGTATTATTTGATATTCCTTTGAAACCTTCGATTTGCAGACTAGATTTGAAAACTTCAAAATAGATCCTACCAACTGGTAAGGACTCCCAAGAAGTGGCATTGGTCACAATAAGGGAATACCAGGAATCAAGATGAAACACCCAGCCATGCTTCCGTTAACTGCATCTCTGGATTTTTTTATTATAGGGAAGACATCCAAGTATTCTTATTTAAAAACAAAACAAAACAAATAAAAAAATAATTGATTACTTTTGCTGCTTATCACTCACTGTAGCTTGACCATTCATCAGTTCAAAGCGTGAAGTTGCTGCGATGGCCTGAACTGACTTTAAAAAATTGTTTTCCTGAATTAGAAATAACACATAATGTTTGCAATCTGTTGTTTGAAAGGAGTTTCGCTATTAAAGTTAGAAGCATGAATTCAACTGTTCATAGTTTTAGGAGTTCAAGTTAAAGTTGACATTGATTAAATTAAAATAGCATAAATTAACCGAATCAGTTTTATTTGTCAGTTCCAAGGCAGGACACATAGAGACTATTGGCACAAAGTATGTATGTACATATATGTTATAGTCATGAAATCATGGGTGGGGGAGAGAGAGAGACAGAGAAAAAGGGACAGAGAGTAAGATGGAGAGATGGAAAGAGACACAGAGACTGATTGATTCACATTCTACATTTGCTTCTGGACCAATCAGCTAATAAAAGTAATTCTGGAATTATCCTAGCTTTTACCTCCTGCTCCAAATGTTAAGCTTGTCTAAGTAAATTAGGTATGATTGAGATAATTATTTATTTTAAACAAAAAAGATGCTGAGGACTCTCTTGTCTCATTTTCTCATTTGTATCATAGCATAAACCCAACCTATCTAGATTTACCATGTATTGGTTTGTGGTGGGGGTAAGTTGATGGTAGATTAGGTACCTAGTTAATAGGTAGATAGAGCTCAAGTAGACAAACCTTTGTCCAAAGGCTTTTCTTTCCTCATCTGGACAGAATGATGTTCTCTCTCCCGCTCTCATTTTTTCTTTATTTTTTCCAGTTTTCAGAAACATGAATTCAGACACCTTGAAAGCCTTCCAGAAGGAACTCACCTGCTCCATGTGCATGAACTACTTCCTCGACCCTGTCACCATAGAATGTGGGCACAGCTTTTGTCGTCCCTGCCTGCACCTCTGCTGGGACGAAACTCCAAATCGAAAGTGCTGCCCTGAGTGCAGGGCAATTTCAGAGAAGCCAGATTTCAAAACTAACATCACACTCAAGAGCCTTGCTTCCCTTGCCAGACAGGCTAGCGCTTACTATGTCAACGGCTCTGAGGAGCAGATCTGTGTGTCACACAAAGCACAGGGGCTCTTCAGTGAGGTTGAAAATGACCTGCTCTGTGGGCTCTGCTCTGAATCCCCAGAGCATGTGGCTCACAACCACAGTCCAATACAATGGGCCGCGGAGGAATACAGGGTAGGTGATGCTTCTAAAGCAATTGGAAAGCTATAGATTCTTAAATCGGAGAGAAAGATGAGGACAATAACAAGGAAGTGATGAGAATAGAGATGGCAGAGATGACAGTTTTTCAATGTAAATTCCAAGATATGAGTGTATTCTCTCAATGCTGTTGACCAATTTGGACACTATAATCATTACTGTGTTGAGCCTTTACTAAGAGAGTTTTCCTTAGAAACGTTGTTCGAATATGTAGCATTGGTGTGATTGTGGGCCAGGTGGTTAGTGCCTGGAACACTGGCTTCTGATGCAAGTTTGACTTCTTCCTAGTCAGGTTATATAAAAATGTGGGTGCCAATTACTTGAGAAGTGGATTATTATCTGTAGGGTCTCCACAACTTCTCTATTATATGTTTCTGTAAGCTTTGATATCCCAAATATTAAAATCAAATTATATTAACGTGAAAATTCAGACCTCTTCATTCTAACATGAAGTGACTGTTTTTTCAACGACTGCCTTTTATGATATTACCTGTGTCACTAAAGCTCATGATTATTTTGTAGGATAATCTTCTAAAGAAAATGGACTCTTTATGGAATATGACTCAAGAAATACAAAATAGTCTGAAGCAGGAAACTAGCAAAATCCAGTCATTAGAGGTAAGAATGAATATGTTCTGTTTACTTTTATGCAGTTGACAAATTCTGGCTCAGATTTTTAAATTCAAATTACCAGTTAAAGGATAATGTTTTCCGCCCAGGAAAAATTAGTGGTTTCAAGTGACACATATCAGTAATCACAAATATACTGACCAATACTAGCTAGTGCAAAGAATGCTAATACATTTGACACTTGAACAAGAGGGGTTAGGGTCTCGCCAGCTTGCTATCAAATATCCATGTATAACTTTTGACTTTTCGTCTCTTGGTATCTGTGGGGCATTGGCTCTATTGAGAGCAAAATCCAGGGATGTTCAAGTCCTGTGTATAAAATGACAGAACAATGCATATAGTCGGCTCTTTGCATTTGTGATTCTCAACCTCAGATCAAAAATATCATCTTTTACCAGCCATTGATTGCATCCATGGATAGGAAACCCACAGGTGTAGAGGGCCAAGTGTGTATTGATTGAAAAAAATCAGAGTATTAGTGGGCTCTTGCAGTTCAAACCCACGCTGTTTAAGGGTCCACTGTGTATGGGATAATCAGGGCTTGATATTCCCAGTTCAACTTTGAAGGTTTGGATAAATCTTCTTAGTAAGTATAAGACAATAGTACACTAAGTTTGTCTGTGAAGGAGAGGAGAGAAATCAAGTAGGACCAGAAGAAAAATGAAGCATTTAAAAAATCTGCATAATATGGTTTATACCTAAATATTTTAAAATATGTAGAAAATTCAGGGGGAGGAAAAAAAAAACAAGAGAAAAATAAGATTGAGATAACAGGAAATAATTGATGGAATAAGAACCCTGAAGAAGCATCACAGATAGACCCTGGGACCCCTTGGAGAGCTTAATCTAACAGGAAAAGAGACCAGAAACATAGAGACAAGATAGACAGAAGGATCAGCGAATACTCAAGACACACTGAAATGTGAGGCAGAAAATTTGTCAAGCACTTTCTTCACGAGGTTAATATTTGAAGTTTGAAGTTTTTTGTTGAGAGTGAGTATATGTAATCCCATTAATCCCCTATCTCTGCAGGAGTATGTGGCTTTGAGAAAGGTTATGATCAAAGCTGAATATCAGAAGATGCATCTATTTCTCCATGAGGAAGAGCACCTCCATGTGGATGCAATGGAGAAGGAAGCAAAGGAGATCTTCCGTCAACTCAAAGAAAATGAATTCAGAATGACCCAACAGAAAGAAGGCCTGAAACAAATGTACAGAGAGCTGACTGAGATATGCCACAGGGCTGATGTGGAACTGCTCCAGGTAAGAAGGGAAGGTCCATCCTCAGAGATGAGAATTCTTTTCTGGGCACTGCTGCCTGACATTGAAATGTTTCCTGCAGATACTATTACCGATGGCCAAGTAACAATGCTCCTTGACAATGCCTCTAATGATGGGAGCATCATTAGATTTTTCCAATCACTTATTTCCTTGTGTCCTGGTAATCATTGGGAGATTTTTGCCCTAAGTGGCTAACAGAGGACAAAATAATTTCAGTGTAATTGGGAGTACTATCTACACAGACAGGTTAACCAAAATCAGCAAATCTCTGTGACCAGGGGAATGCCAACTTTGTTGAGGCCATTCTCGATTTGTATTCCCCTAATCCACTGTCACTCTCAGTTATCCCCACAAAAGCCACTTGCTAAAGACACTGAGGTTTTGCCCTTTGCCTAAGCAAGATTAGTTGAATTTGGTAATCAATTTCAATGCAGTCTGCAATTATTTTTTATGTGATTCCCTGTTTTGCTTTAATTGTTATTATGAACAGTCAGACATCTCCATTGGAATAAGATGGTGCAGTGAGTGACGTTGGAAACCTTGCTGCCCCACCTCACATCTGCTTGACTTTCTTTCCTCAATGAACCCAGTGGAAGTCCCTCAGATTTTAGTTTTTTTGTTATTAAGATAACCTCTGATTGTTCCTTAAAGGAGAATAGGAAACAATATGTTATTAAAACAAACATTTGAAACTATTAAAATAAAATACTAGAAAAAATGCAAAAGGACAGAACTCTCATGATTATCTTTTTTTGTTGTTTTTTGCAGGACTTAGAAAATGTATTGGAAAGGTGAGTTTACACTAATGATTTCTGATTTCTGAGAAAGTTGGTGTCTTGTTGATAAGGTGAATGTACATGTTTTGAGCTATTAACATTGTCCTCTGTGGCTACTTTCTATTTTGTTTCAAAAAAGGCCCTGAGGACTTCTGTTCCTTGGTTTCAGAAAATTATTTCTTATGTGGTTGAAGTTAAATGTACCTTAAACCTTGTGACATTCTGGGCTTTGTCCCAGCCACTCACCCCATCCTCTCCAGCTTTGCCACAATAAAGGAATTTTACTTAAGGGTTTTTTTCTGAAGTATCCCAGAGGAGGTATCAATACTACAGAATTGAAAGGTGGAAAAGGCAGGAAAGAGAGAGCTTTCTTGAAAGTGAAAAATGGGGATTTGGGGGAATGGGCATTTGTCCCTGGAGTAGCAATGATTCAGGCTGTTCCATCAAAGGATTCCCTCCTCATAGGCAGGATTTCAAGGGGGAACGGTTTCTTGGGGCCAGCTAGGAAGTTAGACCTTCAGGAGAAGGACTGCCAGACTGGAGTTAGATTCCTTTGCTTTGCAGAAAAGAGCAAAGCTGTCTGGCTCCATGGACTCTTCCCTTCCAGACACTGAATGTATCATTGGTGACTTTTCTCAGACTCAAGTTTAAAGACTTTGCCTGAATTTTCTGCTCTCGGTAAGATACTCAGGATTTTCATATTCCCTGAGATGGAGTAGATAGAAGAAATGATTCTCAATAATTATAGAAATGTAATAATATCTGAGAGGAATGGGGAAGTTAGATTTGATGTAACTTTAGATTAAAAGTATCATTTTTTATATTCTCAAGAGGGTAGAATAGAATGTATGTATACCTAATTAACTCCAAATGGGAAAATTCTGATGAAACATCTTGGATTAAAAGTTGTAATCTTTGTTATGGTGTGTGATTAACCCTTGGCCTGTAATGTCACTGATGTCATTCTTTACAGGACTGAATTTGTGCAGATGCAAAAGCCTCAGTCAGTGAATCCAGAGCTCACTTCATGGTGCTTCACTGGAATCCTAGATATGCTGAACAACTTCAGAGGTAAAAGTCAGCCCTTTGGCCTCAGACCTCAATTTCTTTAGTGGTCCTTGGGAATGAGCCTTCTTCCATTTAATTTTATTTTTTTCTGACATGAAGGTGGTATATGACTTTCCAAAAATGTTATCTTTTCTCCTTGTATAGTCATCATGATAATCAGGACTGAACTTTGCAACTTACAGTATACTGAAGATGCAGAGAACAAACCTTTTCAATTACATCTGACATAGGCAGAGCAATCAGGTTCCACATATGGTTATGAAGAGACAGAATATTTAGTTCTCAGGGTAGCAATCAATAGTGTGTTTATTCAGGTTGGTCTACTCTTGAAAGTTTAAATATGGCATTGATGACTTTTAATGTATACTGTATTCCAAGTGGATTTATCATGCACTGCACAAAGAATATTTATAAAATCAGAAAGCTGTCACCAGAAAAAAAACTAAAATTGTCAAAAGCAGAATAATTTTAATGCTGTTAGATCAATCCTCAAACAACTGGAAAGCAAACAATCTGAGCATGGCCCAGCTATATCAGGCTCACACTAGAGAGCAAGTCTAGAGCCAGAGGGCCGAAATCAGGATCAGACTGAATATGGAGGTAGAAGAGGTAACATTAAACCAGAACATTCTCTTCAGAAACTTCTAATCTAAGCATAATGTGGATTTCTATCAAATATTTAGATGATCGAAATGTGATGGGTACAAGTTATATCTCAATAAATACTGACATAATAGCAAAGTACTATTTATTAAGTAGTATCAAGGACTATCAACACAAGAGATTTTTAAAGTAAAAACAATGGTTTTAGGTGTTTTTTGAAACATGTTTCACAGAGTTCATGATATATCAGGGTTTTTTTTCTGTATAATTTGAAGGATTTCTGTGTGCTTAGAGGTAGTGATAACTTTTGCTCTTCATAGACGAGCCCATCTGAACTCTTTGCTGTCTTTATATTTCCTTGGAGGAGGGGCAAATGAAGAGACTGTCCCTCAGGATATGAAAATCCCATGCCGTTGATCTGATTTTTTTCTCTTTCTGTAGTGCATAATGTTCTGAATCAGGAAACCATCAGTAACTGTATTAGCCTTCCTGAGGATGTCAGAAAGATGATATTCGGAGATGACCATCACGACACGTCTGGAGAGCCCCCGAGAGTGCAGAGCTTTGCAGCATGGGGAGCTCAGACCTTTACCTCTGGTCGGCATTACTGGGAGATGGATGTGCCACACTCCTCGAACTGGATTCTGGGAGTCTGCAAAGATTCCTTGATAAGCGATACCGATATCACTATTGATTTTGAAGAAGCATCGCTTCTATTTTCTTTGAAGATGAATAACCATTATTTTCTCTCCACTAACCCCCCACCCTTAATTCAGTATGTTAAAAGGCCCCTGGGTAAGATTGGAGTGTTTCTGGATTATGATAATGGAACCGTGAGCTTCTATGATGCTGAAAAAGGTTCCCTCATATCCAGTATAGTTTCTTCCTCCTTCCATTCCCCTCTGAAGCCTTTCCTCTGCCTTGGTTCCCCATGAAAAATCATTTTTTGAGCACTTTTTAATGAAATTCCATGTTTGAGGAAATTATTGTCCTGAAATGTTCTAGGAGGCAACAGGACATACCTGACTATCTTTGAGCACATTGTAACTTAAGGGAACATAATTATTATATGTTTACAAAATGGCATAGCCACATTGAATATATGTGTGCTTATTAAGTTTTCTTTTTATAAAAATTCTTTATAATATAGAACTTCCTAGACATAATCGATGGTGTTTTCTTTTTAAAATAAGTTTTATTAAGATAAAAGTTATATTCATAAAAATCACCCCTTTAAAATGTATGTCAGTATTTTTAGCAATATCCAAAGAGTTGTGTAATAATTGTAACTATCTAATTCTAGGACATTTCCATCCCCCTCAAAAAATCCAAAATTTATTAACATTTACTTCCTATTCACCTTCCCCTATTCCTTGTCAACCCCTAATCTACTTTCAGTCTTTAGGGATTTGTCTGTTATAAACATTTCAAGTAAATGGAATTGTACATTGTGTGGCTTTTTGTATCTTGTTTATTTCACATAATGTTTTCAAGGTTCATCCACATCATAAGCAATGTGTTTTACTTGTATATTTGAGCCAGATTAGATAGAAGAATAAAGGGATATGTATCTGTTTAGTGAGCAAAAGGTACTGTGCTTAGTTTTCTCTTCAAGTCTGACCTTGTTGGGTAGATCCAAGTGTCTGACAGACTTTATCATTTCTCTAAATCTAGTCATTCAACATATCTCAGCTCAAACAACAGTTTTTTCAAGGAAGTCCACCCTGACTCTCAAAAGTTCCTCTTATTACAAACTCTGAGCATATTATACTATCTTGTCATAATCAAACTTTCATCAAATTAGTAGGTACTTATTACTACTAAACTGAAAATTCTGAGAGTAAGGACAGTATTTGTCTTAGTTACATTCCCACTATCCAATGCCACAGTACTTAAGAACATAAAACACAATAAATATAATGTGAATGAATGAATAAATCTGTAATGTGCTCACTCCCATGAAACTGAGAAAGTTTTCCTAAGTAGGAGACATAAGTTACTAAACATAAAGGAAAATAAATTGGAATGCATTAAAATCAATAACTTCCATGCACCCTCCTCTTCGAGGTCACCGCTAGCTTCATCCAAAGAAGGCTCCTCCCAGGACAGGCGGCTGGGTAGCCCCATCCCAGCTGACTAAGGTGCACAGAGCCAGGTGGGGTCACCAGGACTGGACACGCAGGTCTCCCGCTTCGCTCCCGGTCCTGCTGGCCATCACTTGCTCGCTCTCGGGCTCCCCAGGGGCCTCATTTTCTCCCTGGGTCTAGAGATGCACCCATCGTCCACTCACCACCCTCTGGCTGTTCCAGGGGCCTTCGCTTCTCCCTTTTCGGGTGGCGGGAGAGGATGCCCAGCAAATACTAAACTCTTCGTCCTTCTCTCCAGATTCACCTCCCAAGACCCAGGTCACCAGGCCGAGCTAGTGGGCCGAAAAGTCACTGTGCAAAGGGGCTCTGCCCCGGGACCATTTGGGGCTGTCCCTGCAGGGTCAAAGGCATGGACTGAAGCCACCTGGCCCTCCGACGACGGATGAGGTGGCGGTGCCTGTCCCTGGTTGGGTTGATTTCAGGTTGAGTTTGACCCCACGAATTAGAGGAGAGTGTTGATGTAGGGACCATGGCCTTCTATATTTCTCTCACCCTAACTTGGAAGTCTTAGTCAGGGATAAGATGATTGTCCAGGCCTGGCAGGCGTCCAGTGGAGAAGAACTTCAGGGACTAGAGGAAGTGTGGGAAGAGGATCCTGAAACACCACAGGAACCGACCTTTAGGTATAGCAGGTCGTGGCGAGGCACAGTGGTGGAGCTAGATCTGGGGAGGTGGGGCTGTGGTCTGAGGGTCCGTGGGACAGGAGGTTAGAGGGTAACTCTCAGAAAACGACTGTGAGACGAATTGGCTCCATCACAGAAGCCACAGACATGAGTCTATGGGAGCTGAGCAGGGCTGTTGAGGACAGGACATTGTGGACATTACTCTTTCACAGGGTAGCCAGGACTCAAAAGATATCAATGCACAAAACACACACACACCCATCTGATGTACTATGTGTATTGTGTAATGTACTTTTTCAAAAGTGAAACATCTGTAATCAAGAAACTCAGACCAGTGAGATGGCGCCATCTCTTCTGAGGCCCAGGCTGAAGCCTCCAGGTTGTGGTCTTCTCAGGTGTTGCAAACACAGGTGCTAGAGTCACTGGGGAGACACAGACACAGAAGGAGGAGGGCTCCTGGAGCTGAATGTGCAAGACTCAGAAGGCTCCTCAGACCCTGGAAGGTGACCTTGGGCCCTGACACCCACGAGGTTCAGATCCATGGGAAAATGAAGCCTTGTGGCCTCTCTGAAATGACAGTGTCATCTGCCTACTGAGTGTTCACAAGATGTTCTAAGAGAGATTCAACCTGGGCATTGGGCCGGGCAGCCTTCAGGTGACTGGTCCCCTGGACAGTAAAACTGATGCAGAGAAAAGGGCGGGGGTTAGGGATTCTAGGACTCTAAGATGGAAAGGCCTAGTCCCTGCCTCCTGGTCTCTGTAAAGAGCAGAAGGTATGTTGACATCGGGGGGAGTGGTGACCATGTACCTTCACCTCACATTCAATACAACCCAGTCCTGACACCTGCACAGTAAAAGTGGGCAGCTTCCTGGAGCCCTTCCATTTTTCTCTTATCAGCTTTGTTTTTCTAAAACAAATGTTTTTTGTACTTTTAAATTTCAAAAATATTATTGCACTCTAATTACAAAAACATCAATTTTATGTCTTTGGTACTTTTCAATGAAAAAGATACCAAAGACACTGCCTTTAAAAGTGTAATAAAACCAGTTATATTTATGTCTTTTAATTACAAAAATGAGAAATAAATCAAAGGAATATAGCAACTTGAAATATGTCCCTTTAATGAATCCCACAGGTGCATTGCATTGCCTTTGTGTATGTGTTTTGTTTGAAGTTGAACCATATGCAGAAGAATCCATAGATCTCCAGCCTTTGATAGAGAAACAGTGCCATGAGGTGATCCTAGATCTCCCACAGGGCTTCACAGATGTAGAAGGAACATAAGGGGTTGGTCAACTCTCAGGCTGGGTTCCCAGAGGGTCCCCATGTAATGCTGGGAATACTGAGTCACTCGCTGAGATCAGATGGGCCTGGTGAGCTGTCCTCCTAGCAGGAGCATCTGATGTCTGTGTCTTCACTCTTTTCCCAAAAGGCGTGCAGTGAGGGAGGTCAGGACCACCCATGATGTCTCATCATTCCTGGTGAAGACCTGGAGATGCTTCTTGTTGACTTGAGCAGGTTGGGAGGGCAGGGATAGGTCCTGCAAAGTGAGACGCTGAACAACTCCAGTGGCTCAGTTTACAGAAAAAGCAATGACCAGCACCTCTTCGAGTCATGAACACAGTGGCCCAACAGGGTAAGCAAATGCAAGCAGCTACTGCAGGACGCAGCCTAGCAATCTTCTATGGAATGGGGACCCGTCCCCTAGGGAGATGTGCTCAGGGCACCCTTCACTGGCCTACAGGGAGTGTTACCATTCTCTCATCTCCACTTTGGGGCTCCATGAAATAGCAGACTAGTGTTTTTGAGAGATTCCCTGAAGTGCCAATGAGTACATTAGGAAGCAATGGAGAACGTGTGTACTTATTTGCTTCATCCTTTTCATCCCAACCACCACAACTTCAAATTTCTTCTATTTCTCTCTCCTCCCAAATTGCTTTCTTTGCCCCTTCTCCTGGAGCGCTTTCCAGGGAGTTTTTTGAAAACTAGAGGAGAAAGAACACATGCATGTCCAGAGCCACCCACAGGAAAACCCCTGTGTGACAGGTGCCCAGTGCAGAACCAGAGTTCATAGGGCCTCCTCATCAGGGGGGTCCGCCCCTTCTGATTCCCAGCCCAGCTTTCTCCTAAGGTCAGTCAGGGTGGCTGAACACCATTTAACGGTGCAATGGGAGTCACCAGCCAGGAGATGCTAAGAGTGAAACTGCAGGGCTGGAGGGAGGTATTACGGACAGCGATGGTGCCAGGGCCTCAAGTGCATGGATGAGAACTGGTCCTTCAGAATGAGAAACCTATGAAGCAGGGCTGGGGAAGAGTCACAAAAAGGAGCTTATGGATGGGATAAAGTGAACATGGAAGCGAGATGAAAACGGAAATCAATTACAAGCACTCTTACGCTGTCTCTGAGGCTTCATCATCTGCAGTGCAGTTTTCAAGTGGACTAGGACAGCAACGATGTCAGGGTGACCATGGGAAAAGAAAGGGGAGAGTTTGAGCTGAGGTGAGAACCCAGGCTCCTGCCGCTTTGGGGATTATGGAGCCCAACCCAAGGACCCATTCTGTCCTCATTTCTAAACTCCTCCTCAGGTGACCCCCTGGCCCTGCTACTGGAGACTCTATCCAAGGCCTGGTCAATCCCAGGAGACTAGGACCACAGTGCTGTGCAAGGAAGTGTTTGCTCTAGAACCCTTAAATAACAAAGCAAAAAAAGATGATGGCAGACACAGCAATAGATACAATTCTTCCTATGACATCATAAGAATAGAAAAAGAATCAATCAGACTTTTACTCACATTTCTGTTTTCCATTTGATTTCATAGCCCCCTTCCTCAGTCTTCCAAGTAGCAGGTGCCACCTGACTATTCCCAGAACTCTCTCCCATGGGGTCCAACCTGAATATTGGTACCTACATGTAGAGTCTTCATCATCGTTATTGGCGTCAGAGAAGCTCTCCATCAGCTAATCTTCAGAAACAGAAATATGAGCAATAAAGTTATTTGAAACAGAGGCTCATCATCATATCCTTGAACCTACGGTGAGTATGGCATCACCCTGATGTTACCCTCACTTCATAGATCTTCTTGGGACTCAAGGAGTTCAGAGCCCTTCAACTACACATTGACCAAAGTTGTAAACCTTCACATCAGAAACTGTTAAAGAAAACA